AACAGTTCTAGAGAAATTGTTCTTACACAACACACTAATTTGAAGAAGTGAAGGAAGATTACCATAAAGTCATTGGAGAAAGGTAATTGGATAAAACAACTGCATGATAGTAATATGTTTTGATAGCAGATGAATAACTAAACTAGTACAACAAAAACTAATTCTAGCGGAAAGAATAGCGGGTCACAGATTAGTGGATTGAGGAATATTGGTTGCTTCCTCTTGATTATCATTCTCATACAAAGATATAGTGCTATCAATGCTCCCTTTACTAGGAAATTCTGTCTCTAAGAATGTGGCGTCTCTTGAGATTATCTCAGTCACTGAGTCATCATCATTTTCGCCAATGAAGACGTACCCCTTAGAATGTTTTGAGTAGCGTATGAAAATACACTTCTTGCCTCTTAGTCCTAATTTCCTGAACTTATGGGAGGAGTCATGAACATATACAGCACATCCCCAAGGTCTCAAGACACTTAGGTCTGGTTTGCGTCCTGTCCATAGCTCATAAGGTGTTGAAGTGACTGATTTCGAGGGCACATGGTTAAATATAAAGGTAGCAGTTGAAAGTGTGTCTCCCCAATAGGAGATTGGTAGCTCTGCTTGAGCCAGCAAAAACCTAACCATGTCGAGAAGGGTCCTATTTCTTCTCTGAGCAACGCCATTTTGCTGTGGGGGCACCGGGAACAGTTACCTGCCTAGCTACAGGGTGCTTTGAACTGGTCAAATAGATACTCTCTACCCGTGTCAGTCCTTAAGGCCTTAACTTTGTAATCCAACTGATTTTCTATAAGGTTGAGGTATTTCTTGAAATATTTCAGGGTCTCTGACTTGTGTGAGATTAGATAGATGTGGCCATATCGTGAGAAATCATCGATGAAGGTAATGAAATACCAAGCTCTGTGCCTTGCACTCATAGTCATAGGTCCACAAATGTCAGAGTGTACTAACTACAGAGGATATTCTGCTCTGGATGCCTTTCCAAAAGGCTTCCTTGTGGCTTGCCAGCTAAGCAATGCTCACATAGGGAAATTTCTTTCTTGGATGCATTTCCTAGTAAACCCTCTTTTGTTAGTTTGATCATGTGTTCTTGACCAATGTGTCTAAGTCTAGCGTGCCATACATCATAGTTCATATCAGAAATAACAACATAGCAAGAACTAGAATTGAAATTATTATTAAAATTTTCCAAAACAAAAAATCCATCCAAAGCATAACTAGATCCGATAAATTCGATCCCATGTTTAATGTCAACAACATAATTATGAAAGTGAACACCAAGATGAAACTTAATTAAAAACATGACAGACACAAGATTCTGCCGGATATCTGGAGCATAGAGCACATCCTCTAAGACCAAGGTTCGCCCTCCTTACAAAGTCAGCTTGTAAGTGCCGATCCCTTTGACTTCCACCCTTGCGTTGTTTCCACCATAAAGTCATTTGCTCTTAGCAGGTAGCTAACGAAAAACTGTGAAGTTCCCACGATCTCTGCTTATGTGGTCTGTTGCACTTGAGTCTATAACCCATACAGGATTAGCTTCTGCTATAAAAGCAGTACTAGAAACATATGAAAAATGTGAAGGATTTGAACTCAATACCTTCTCCTCAAGGCAATCCTTGGCAAAGTGTCTTTTCTTGCGACAAGCATAACACTTGACTTTCACCATGTCAAGCTTCTTCTTGGCAGGCTTTCTGCCCTTTTTGAAGGTTTTCTTGCCTTTCTGAGTCTTTCAACCCCCTTTTGCCTTTTTGTTGGGACCTCTTCCCTTCTGCCATTTGGAGGATGAACCCTCCCTACCTTTAGTTAAGTACGCTTGGTTAGTGGACTTCGCAGCCTCCATCGTTTCATCCTCAAGCTCGATATGGCATGCCACATCTGTAAAGGTCACTATGCTTTCATTATGCGTGCAGTTGACCTTCATGTGCCCCCAACTAGCTAGAAGTGATCTTATGACAGCTTGTACCTGTTGCTCATCAGAAAGAGCATGCCTTGCCTCTTTTAGCTCTCAAATCATGTTTGACATGTCTCACAAGTGTTGCTTGACAGGAGTGTTAGGCCTTAGCTTATACATGTCAAACTTGATGGTAAGCCTTCTCAGTTTAGTGGCAGAAGTGCCATCAGACTTATCCTTCAAGGCTATCCATATAGCTTGGGTAGTTGCACAATCTTCGAATCCACACATAATGTCATCTGCCATAGCACTTAGCATGGTCACATGTGTGATACTGTCCTTTGGTTTCCAAGCAGTATACGCTTCTTATTCCCTTTGTGATGCAGCAGCATCAGGTTGTTGCAATACAGTTAATAAGACATCCATGAAGACTTGCTCTTCCAGGACATAGGAGATTTTACGGTGCCACATACTGTAGTTATCTCCGTTCATCTTGTCGCCTTTGTTTAGCTTAGCTATTATGGACTTCATAGCCATTTACGGCATATCACTGTTACATAGATAATTATGCACTTTATTCAATGGTATACAAAAACCATGTTCAAGGAAGACTAATAGTGATCGAATGAAAGGATTGCCAATTTCGCAATCAAGAGTTAACTAGGTTGGCTCCCATCTCACTCATGTTGGTTCCCCTTTCACCTTCTCACTCTTGGTTTATCTGACCTTATCCCTTGTTCAAGCATTTGGATTTCACAATCTGAAAATGGCTCCCACTCAGTTAAAGCAATAAAATATTATTAATTAAAAAAAAACACCAAAACAATTGCATTAAGGTTCACATTGATTGATAAAACAACCGTGACCCACTATTCTTTCCAGTTCATTCTTCGGTCTGACTTTTAAAACATTGGTCGAGAGGCCAGCTCTCATCGTCAGTCTAGAAGATGACGAGGAAGATCCTAAAAGTGTTCATGAGGGACTGACAGGACCAGCTAAGGAAAAATGGCAAAGTGCCATGCAGGAGGAAATGGATTCAATGAAATCCAACCAAGTATAAGAATTGGTTGATCTACCGCCTAGTCGAAAGGCTATCGGGAATAACTAGGTTCTTAAATACAAAAGAAAGGCAGATGGGTCAATCAATAAACCCAAAGCATGCTTGGTGGCAAAGGGATATACACGATAGGAAGGGGTTAATTACGAAGATATCTTTTCACTTGTGGTACGTTTTAACTCAATGAGAATGACCTTGGCTTTAGTTGTAAGTTTAGACTTGGAACTACATCAAATGAATGTGAAAATTGCTTTTCTGAATGGGGAACTAGATGAAGAAATATACATAAAGCAACCAGAAGGCTTCATGGAAGAGGGTAAAGAGGAAAAAGTTTGTAAGCTCCTAAGGTCTATTTATGGGCTAAAACAATCATCTAGACAGCAACACCTAAAGTTCCACAAAGCAATAACCTCGTTCAACATTGAAATGATCGAAGAAGATCACTACGTATACATAAAGCGGTCAGGGAGAGACTTTGTTATCTTATCCCTGTATGTCAATGACATACTACTAGCTAGATCAAGTTTGAAAGCAGTTAAAGCAATCAAAGATTGGCTATCTTTGAATTTTCAAATGAAAGACATGGGTGAGGCAGAATATATCTTGGGAGTCAAGATAAAAAGAGATCGTTCAAGAAAGTTATTGTTTTTGTCTTAAAAGACATACATAACAAATGTCCTTGAACGGTTCAAGATGAGAGATTGCAAACTCATAGATACCCCTATTGTTAAGGGACGCAACCTAACTGAGGATATGTATCCTATAAAAGAATCCGATATAGAGTGCATGAAGTGAGTCCCATACTCAAGTGCAGTTGGTAGTTTGATGCATGCAATATTGTGTACAAGATCGAACATATGTTTTGTAGTTGGACTTGTAAGTTGTTTCTAATCAAACCCAGGCGTGAAATACTAGGAAGCCATAAAGAGAATCATGAGGTACCTAAAGGGAACCATGGATTATGAATTGTGCTATGATGGCAACAACCTATACTTAAAAGGATCCTCTTATGCTGATTGGGCTGGAGATCTCAATGAGTGCCACTCTACTTCAAGATATGCATTCCTCCTAGGTGACAGAGCAATTTCTTGGAGAAGCAATAAACAAACATGCATGTCTCTATCTTCCATGGAAGCAGAATATGTGGTGTGTTCTGTTGCCATCCAAGAAGCTGTGTGGCTCAAAAGGTTCTTGGAGTAATTACCAGTGAACGATGCGAATAAGGGACTAGTTCTCATACATTGTGATAGCCAAGCGGTAGTAGCTTATGCTAAGGATCCAAAATATCACAATAGGACCAAACATATAAACATTAAGTATCATTTTGTAAGAGACATTATTGCTAAAAAGTAGGTCACTATTCAATACCTTTCCACTCAAAAGATGTTAGCTGATCCCCTTATAAAGCCCATAGCAAGAGACCCTTTCATTAAACATGTAAAGGCTATGGGCATACATAGAACCTGATGTATTGAATTTTTCCTTTCATTCAATAAAGTGATGCACTTACTTTTTTCTTTTCAAATTATTCAATGGTATGCAAAACTTGTAGTGTCGTATAGGATGAGGTTGACTCTCTCACACGAGTAATCGCCTTTAAGTGTTCATAAGGAACACAGAAGATGAGACATTGCGTGATCTCCAGCCATGAAGCAAGAGCCATGGAATGGTTGAGAAGTATCACTGCACACATGCTACCTCAAGTGAGCTTGAGGATGAGATCTATGCATGAAATAGGTCGAATCATGAACGTCCACACAATTCATGGACCCTGTAGCCAGATAAAGAACTCATCTTGAAAAACATCATTATATGTCAAGTGAAGAGTTTTGGTTTTAGGCACTAAGCATGCCTCGAACTAAAGTCTGCATGATGTTAATAAAGAAAAAACAACACACGCTCTTAACAAACTAAGACGAACATCATGACGTGCAATTCATACTACATATGCTTCTATCAACCGCAATTGGGATGCGAGTGGGAAGATCCCTTGTCCCACTTCAATGTGAGTCCCTAAAAGGAATAAACCTTTCATGATGCCTTTAAGATTTAAACAGTATTATGAAGGGATAACCTAGTGCCTGCTACCTTGGCTTGCACCCTATGATCATGAGAGATCCAGTCTAATGGGCCAAATACCAAGAAATCGATGAAGTTACACTTGAATGATAACTGGTCAGAAGGAAGATTAACCCTGAATTACACAATCATGCTGGTATCTATGACATGTCCCTTGTGAGCATATTGAGTAACTCACAAGTGTGGATGCAATGCATATAAGCGGGCGGTTTGAGTTAGATAAACCTGACTCGAGAGGGATTGGACATGCCATAAGAAAAGTACAAGGGTAAATCTGGGGCATTTGAGGCAACATCCAAACACACCTGAGATGTCCTTGTACACTAGCTCCGCCTCAAGAGTTTCTAGTGAACAAGCATCCAAAGTAGAAGACATCGTGCCAATGCGGTCACGGCAGAGCACCAAGTATGAAATGAGAAAGGAGAATCACACTATGGACGACCCATCAAGTGCGAGTGGGAGATGTTAGACACTGGGCTCAAGCCCGCCCTTGATGGGCCAGACTATTTGATCCAAAAGAAAAGAATCTCTTGGATAAAGAAAATCAATCACAAATCAGAAGCAATTAGTGATTGATTAGGGAATATTCAATCAAGCATTTAGTACTTGATTGATTGGAAAGAAATCAATCAGACATTAATTATCGATTGTAGAATCAGACTATTATCCCACAATAAATGAGGAAGATTGCACATTCCTGAAATATGGGCCACCTTGGCCCTACAAATAGGATGTGCCTCCAACCATTCTCTTTACCCCATACCATAGAGCTTTCCGGTGTTCTCTTCTCCTCTCTCTGGTGCATCTGCTGTGCCATTCTATCAATACTCTAGTAGTCAAGATACTGCGTGAGCTACCAGCATCATGACCCAGAACCGACCTGGTACTTTTCCTTGCGCTATCTATTTTCTTTCCTTTAATCATTTTCTCAAAACTTAATTAATACCATATTAATATAATCACTTTTATAATCTTGTTCATTTATAGAAATGGATGTATGCATATGGACATGCCTTTTGTGGTAGAAAGACAAATATATCTGTTTTAAAAGAATATATATATATATATATATATATAAGACAAACGTATACATTTAGTTTTTTAACTTTATACAAGTTTCGGCTTACTCTCTTAATTTTAAAAGGAATCTTTTTAGTCTTTTAACCTTAACATAATTAATTTCAAATGATGATTTTTTGTGTCAATCATTGTCCCTTTTAAAAGAAGTATACTAAATATGCCAACATTAGTGATGTTTAGTCAATATTAAAAATCTCAATGTCAGCCTTTTTGTTAATAAAATTAATAGTATTAGAGTTGGAGGGCAGAAAATAAAATTTATAAAATTAAAGAATCAAAATAAAATATTATGTAGAGTTAAAGGACTAGAGATGTACTTTTGCCTATAAGAGAAATAAAAACACTTGAGAAAAATTAAAAAAAAATACAAGGAGATCTGTGCGAATATTTGCAAAAAATAGAAGAAACTTAAATTATAGTTGATCCTTGTCTCTCGGCTGAAAATTATAGCTAAAGATATTAGACCAAAGAATAAAGAAAGGGCGTGGGGGTGGAGTACCTTGAATGGCTTTTCTAATCTGAAATGGCTTCCATATAACTTCAAGCAGATTAGTTTCGAAGGTGAAAATGCCGGTGGTAAAGTGGTTGAAGGAAATCCTTTCCAATCTAGTAATCTTAAACTCTTTGGAAAATACTTAGGACTGGCTAAAAACTGAGTATTTCGAATGATGAGAATCTTGAGATTATTCATCTTCTCAAAAGCTATACCATCCCACACCACTTCTTCTTGATATGGTGGATCAAGTATTATTCCTTCAATATTATCGTTTCCCTGTAATGCAAGGTTGAAGAAGTGACATTATTAGATATTGCCAAATTAGCAAAATAAATTTGATGCATATGACAATATACATGTACGATTTTATAATATAAATACAAGCAAATAGAAAGAAGAGTCTTACTAAGTTTTCATGTAGTACTTTAAAAACTTTTTTATAATACCATAATCTACTGCATTGACCAGGATTTGATGGTGCCTCTTGTCTAACAATCTCTTTCGCCATTTGTTGTATTAGATCATGCATGTACAAGCGTTTGTTAACTTCATCATTAGTTATGAAGAATTTATCAACAAGAATTTCGATGTAAAACCTTGCTCCATCATCACAGGCTTCTAGTATGTCTTCAATGAATTCTAATGTCTTCCTTTTAAAGAAACAAGCAATGTCTAGGAAAACACGCTTAGCACCATCTTGTAAGCAATCATAGCTTATCTTGAGATCTAACCTCATGGATAGTTCTTTCAGGGATTCTTTTATACTTCTCCAACATAGATCTCCATTCCTCTAAGGTTTTATGTGCCAAATTGGAACCTACTAATTTCAAAGCTAGAAGAAGGCCATGTACATATCTTACAACATGATTGCACATATTTGTACAGTCACTTGGAGGTTGTCTCATGCCAAAGGCATGCCAAGAAAAGAGTTCGAGTAAAAATGATCTAGCTCCGTCATTTCATATGCTTTCTCAACATTTCGTGCAATTAGCAATTGCTTATTTCTTGTCGTTATAATGATTTTGCTTTCACAACCAAACCACTCACAGCCGCCTGCTAGTTGTTCTAACTGTTCAAATTCATCAACATCGTCAAGAACCAATAAAACCTTTTTGGTAGAGAGTCTATGTTTAATCATAGATTTCCCTTCGTCAACACTGCCAAACTTCATCTTCTTTTCCTCAAGAATTTCTGATAGAAGTGTTTGTTGAAGGCGGGCAACACCCTGATACTTCTTTGATACTTCTCTGACATCAAACAAAAAGTAAGCACCTTCAAAATGATAGAAGACTGAATAATAGAGAGCTTTTGCAAGGGTCGTTTTGCCAATTCCGCCAGTTCCATGAGTCCCCAACATCCAGACGCCTTTGTCAGATTTATTTATAAGTGAGATCACTTCTTCTATCCGAGGCTCAAGTCCAACGATGTAATCAACGTTATGGAAGCGTTTAGGTGGCAGCATAGAATATGCATGTTCCACGATCCTTTCAACAAATCCAGATTCACATCTGCAAAAGAGCATATTTCCTTTTCACTGTTAAGATTATTTATCTGCGCATGGTGTCTTCTACTGTATTTCTTTCCTCTTTTAATACACAGTTATCAATAGAATATTGTTTCAATTCTTTAAAAAAATAAAAAAGTAAAGTAGAGGAAATGAAAAGTGAATAATCATATAATTCCAACATTAATAAGGTCTCTAAATTTTGTAATCCCATCTCTATCTAAAGGTTTCAAAGTTCCAATTGTAAAACTATGAAATATTTTCTGCTCAAAGGACACGGTCTAAGTAAATCCAAAAGATTCAGGCTGAAAGTTGTAAATTCAAAAGAATAAAACAAGGCCCAAAATTAAACTTTAAATGCCCATAATAAAATTACTCTTAGGACCCCAAGTATGCAGAGATTTACCTTTGTGTGCTATATTGTCAGCAACTATTAAGTACTAACAAAGAATTAATAAATTTCATCAGCAGAAGGCAATAATGGTGCAAACAAACCTACCCGTCTTTGAAAAGCCATGTTAATGATAAACTAGCAGCTTCGAACAAAGCAGAACGCCATTTGCACACTTTCTCTAAGTCATCTCTATACCTATCTTCAAGAGCAGCCCTGGCTTCTTCAAAGCTATTTCTCTGATATTGAACATCCAACAAATCCACTTTGTAAAAGATGGCCATAACCAATTGATTCTTCTGTTTCTTGCACCAGATGATGTGGGTGAGTTCCTCTAGGCACCATGTGGAAGTAGCATAGTTTGTAGAGAAGACAATAAGGGAAATCCTTGACCTCTCAATGGCTTTGATAAGGGCAGGTGCGATTCGTTCCCCTTTCCCAAGCTTCTTGTCATCAATGAAGGCGTTGATCCCCTTACGTCGTAGAGAATTGTAAAGAGGCACAGTGAAAGCGTGGCGAGTATCTTCACCTCTGAAACCCAGAAAAACATCATATCTGTACTTAGTTTTGCTGGTGAAGCTAAAGGATGATGGTGAAGCCACTTGAATCGCCATGTACATGGCTGCAACAATCGCAGTGGTGAAGCTATGTTCTGAGGTCTGAAACTAAGGTTTTGATCATTCAAGATGGCAGGAAATTTGTTAGAAGGTTCAGGTCCATCAATTTCATTGGTTTGTTCACTTGTTATGATCTCTGAATGGCGCAGAGGATGTTGCCTTGTTTTTCTTTGACCCTTTTTCTTTTTTTACTTTTGTAATGGTGCGGCAGACGATGAATCCTTTTTTTCCTAGTTTGTTTTATCACAGTATTTCATATTTTGTACTACTATATATTTTGGATTAGAATAGACTCGAGTTTTACAAAAGCATAAAGGATAAAGTGTACGCGGGTAAGGTTTTAGAATAAGGGAAAATTGTTGGGGAAAAAAAGAATAAGGGAAAATTATATTGCAAATACCTATATTTTCTCATAATTTTTAATTTAATACCCATATGTTTTTCTCTCGTAATTGAATTCTTTAATTTTACTTTAGGGGCTAACAGTACTAAAAAGATTAAAGTTACCGGGGTAATGGTACGAGCAAAGTAAGAGGATAATTGGGGGGGGGGGAATGCTTAGATGCCAAAAAAAATTAAGGAAAAATAACTCAAATAGTTTTTCTTTGACTTTTTTTAAACTGCAACTCTACATCCCTTTCATCCCCATCACACCCCGCAATCAATGGTTAAAACTTGCAATCCCAAAACTTGCAATCCCAATGTTTAATTTCATTTTTGCATGAAATACCTAATATATTGATCCTTAACAGCAAATACAAGTTATAGAATCAAGATAAGTAGCTACGCTAAGGTTGAAGAATAATATACGTGAGATCCATAACTTCTACAGAAAGGGCTTTTAGAGTTCTACGCATAAAACCACATAATCTGCAAAATCAATTGTTTCATGAGAGTTTTCTGTTATTAACATTTATAATCTTCAAGGGTTATATATTATGTGATTATGTAAGCTAATTCTAATTGTGTTATTGTAATTCTTAAGTTGTTTAAAGGCCAATAAATAAAATTTATTGACTACATAGTTATACTTCGTTTTGCTGCTCGAATCGCCATGGCTGGGATACAAGTACCAGTGCAAGCTGCTTGCTATATAATGGGATTTAATTGTGAAAGCAGAGCTACAACTTCGGGAAATGTCGTTCATAAGCAAATTATGAAAGAAAATTATCTGATGCATTCACCAAATGCCTTTAAATTCGGGTCATCACTCAGTACTCTTCATAATGATATGCACCATGTGCTCATTATTATAATACAATCCAAACTAATCCAAAATCTGATATGAATGATTTAGATTTAAAACTTTTAATATTCAATTTTTTTCAATAATAAATTTATTTTTGAAACAAGTGTTAGTTATCAAGTTATTTTTATTTTGAATTCTCTATATAAAAATTTAAATTCAATCTAGACCATTCAAAATGAATTTGGATAGTTTAATCCATCTTTTGGATCCGATACCCTCAACTATTGAACGTAATTGATACTCTCACTTATTCAAAGTTAAGATGCACTGTACGTAAAAGATGCTTCACTCCTGGTTTGAAAAAAGCACAAACAAATGCTTAACTGCTTTATTTGACACTGGAAATGACTGACACAATGAGGGGCTCAAAGATTATATAGGACCATTATATTAATTTTTTTATGAATAATGTTGTAAATTGAGAGCCAAGCCCAAAAATGGACGGAGAGAACAAATACACAAGGAAGAGTGAATGAAACTATATATTCTGACTCAGGTTATGACTCAAATTTATGAGTCGTTCTACTTTAATTTTATCTCAAAGTAAAATTTTCCGCATCAACTCAATTGTACTCGTATGAACAAATGATGCGAACAAGTTACAGCTAAGAGTAAAAACACATGCCACTGAAAAAGGAGAGACAGACCTCATAGTTATAGCCAGTTCATACTGTCCCATCTCGATTAGGACCGGACAAAAGCGGGAGAGGATGAAATGGAAGCTGAGACGGGACAAGATAACATGTGGGACAACCTCATCTCTCTTGTCCCAAGATATATACGCGCGCATGCACATATATGTATATATTTTAATTTTTGTTATAGATATTTTTGTTTTTCTATTCCATTAATACAAAAAATATAAATATTAAGTTCAAAGAAGTAAACGCAGATCACGTATTTGAATAAATTTTTGACTAAAGTATCTGTAGTCCTTTAACTTTTTACAAAGTTTTAATTTGGTTCTTTAATTTTAAAAAGTATACTTTTAATTCTTTAACTCTAAAATTTTTTTAAAAAATAATGACATTAAGATTTTAAGTGTTGATAAAATATTCTCAAATGGTAACATATTAAATTTAATTTTCAAAACATTTATAATTGTTACAAAAAATCATTATTGAAACCTAATGATTTTAGGATTAAAGAACCAAATCATGCTTTTTAAAGTTAAGAAATCAAATTGAAATCTTATAAAAGTTAAAAGATCAAATGTATACTTTAGCCTAAATTTTTTACTTTGATGTTTATAAAAACAAAAAATGTTTTTAAAAATTTAAATTATGCAAAATTCAATCAATACGATGCGGTAATGCACTTTTGTCAATATATGTTTAGACTTAATTGGAATCAAGGCTAATGGCCTCTACATATAATATTTCTGTAATACCTACTTTAATTACTCGACCAGAAGCCTATTAAATTTACTTCGAACCACTAAGCCAAGTTTAATCCTGAAAAATAAAAATACCTTTACTAAACTCTTTATTAAAGGTTCTTCTAAACACATGGTTTGATCCTGTATAAGAGATAGGATTTTCTAAAAAATCTTAAACCCTTGAAATTACTTACAAAATGTCCTGTCAAGTGGTTCAGACATCTATTTAATCCCTGACTTTAACATCAATATAGACCTTTAGCTAGACCAATAATATCAAACCTTACCACGAGAGGTATTCAAGGCTAACCCGTTTCGATCCAGGCCTTATTGGGACAGGACGGGCCCCTCCTGAAATTTTTCAAAACCAGACAAACCGAGACAGGACAGGACACGGGATCGCCCCGTCCCGGTCCCGTCCCGGTCCCATTGATTTTTTTATTTTTTATTTTATTTATGTAATATCATTTTCTTCATATTTTTTTTTTAAGATTTGACACTTATATGGAACAATGAATATATTTATTTAGAGCTTTTATATTTGTTGATGATTTGAGATTATTGATGATTAGAATTTCTAACAAGTTTTTATTGTGTTAAAAGCTTTTGTTTAGAGTTATTAATGATTATTATATGTAATATTTTGAGCTTTTGTTTAAGGGTGCCCAAAGAAATAAAAAAGAAAACAAAAAGATGTTTTTATAAGGCCTAAGCCCAAAAAACTACAATTAGAATAAATAATCAGATATTATTAAAAAACATTAAAAAAAATATCGGGACGTCCTGGTCCCATCCCGGTTTCATCCCGATTGGAACCACGACAATACCAGGACGGGACGGGACGGGACACGAGACAGAAAACTTGTCCCGTTACTATTCATCGGGACAAAACCGAGATGGGCCTGTCCCAGTCCCGATCCGCTCCGTGAACAGCCCTACTTGCTACAATAATAAAATATCTATCTACTAATAGACAGCCATCAGAGCATATGGCACTTAATTGTCGGTTATGGGTGCCAATACTTTCCTCTTTACAGAGGTAATTACATCCCATAATTGCATTACATAATCACAGAAATATAGATGTACACAAAATACATATGGCCATACATGGCTTAACAAAACCTCTAAATATAAGCAGTAAAAGACTACGCAGATACCAGCTATCTTATTCGCATATGCTCCCAACTTTTCAAATTCCTTCAATTACCACACCTT